CCGGGTTTCCCAAAGGCTGTATGCATTTCCGGCGAAATCCATCGGTTTGCTATTGTCCAGTAAAATCAGATTTTTTGGTATGAGATTTCACTGTGTTCTCTGAGTATAACGGCCTCATTTGATTGGCATGACATCCATTATGAATAATTTAGGCCAGCCAAACGCCGCACAAAATTGATGCGTTCAAGCAAATGTCAAGAAACAAACGATGGCGTGACGAAAGTAGGCGACTAAAAGTCGTTGCAAAAATATGTGTCCATTGAGCATCCACCTAACATGCTCTCCCTTGATGACCACTTTGTGATCTTGGCGCCAGCATTAACGGACATTAGACCTATTTCACTCCAACATCGCTTACTTTAGTCAATGTGTCTGCACACAGATCGGCAGCATATGGCTGTGGGAATTTTGCAAAGTGTGTTCAATACCTTTACTCTTGGCTTAACTCTTGGCCATGTTGTGAGTTGCTTTAGTGGAAATTCGCCAACTCTACCTACATGACGCATTTTGCGCACTCTCTGCTTCTGTGATTCATTTTCATCACTCGATGAAAGCTTACGGTCAGATTCATTTTCACGCAAACTCAACGGTCTTGGCTATATATTTTGTGCTTTTTAGTTTTATAGTAACCCGTTTCATCCAGTGATTTTTCACTGTTGTGGCAATGTTCACAGGTTATGGATCTTTGGGTCTTATGACTTCGGTTCTAATGTGTCCCGACGGGAGGACAGTAGAGGCCGAGGCAGCCCATGGGACTGTGACACGCCACTATCGCGAGTACCAGAAGGGACGACCCACTAGCACGAACCCGATTGCTAGTATTTTCGCTTGGACCCGTGGCTTGGCTCACCGAGGCAAACTGGACGACAACCAGGAGTTAGTCCGGTGCGTTGTACTCCCTTCATGGTCGTAGTGTTTCCTTTTCTCCACCCTTTCCCCAGCTTGTGTTGTCACTTTTGCACACAGAGCTTGCAATCCCACTGAGCTGGCTAGCCCGCTTCGCGTTTGTGCTACGATTACACATCCGATAATTTTGACAATCTCCTATGGAATCAGACGAGCGTTACTTGTGGACCTTGCATCCATCATACAAGTTAAGCGGAACGCTTTGAAAGCTATCCATGTTTTAGGTCACCTTGGTTTCTCTCATTATACTCCACTACAAAAAGTGGACATGCGACATTATCACGCGCGTTTCAGACGCACATGAGTGAAATATCCGTCTTCCTTAGTTTCACAAACCTTATTTCTCTAGGTCCTAGCTCTCAGTTCATTAGGGCCAAAAACTGCTCATTAACCCATGTGTAACCGAGTCATTGTTTCAATCTCGCGTTCACTGTAACTAATCCGCTAAGTAACACAAATTATGCTTTGTAACTGGCCTACCTCAACATTAACTATACTTTATTCTTTCGTCAAATGGTCTGATAGTACTCAATAACTTTAGCCCAGTATTTTGCATCATTGATGTATCGGCTTTTAAAACCAACTTTGCGTTTTCTACTTGTACTTTCTCGACCGACAAACCCGATTCTTTCACAATAGTTGCTATAATTAAAAATTTGCTTCTTTGTTATCACTGTCTCCCCTGTACTGATTGTTTAGTTGACAGGGACACGCACTCATCCATCCACAGAGTTTTGCAGCATTTCCAGTCACATGCTTTCCCACTGAAACTTTGGGTTTTAACTCACAGTCGTCCCCCTATACTACTCGAACAGTCGATGGCCGTTAGTTCATTTGTATTTGTCCTTCATGTGTTCGTTTCAACCGATTTCTTCATCTTAACGGGTAACACTTCATTCGTCAGTTCCTCATTCTCTACACCGGCACCCTGGAAATAGCGAGGTACTTCCTTTCAGTTGATACGGTTTTTGAACTAACTAGAGCATTGATAGATGATTTTGCTTTGATGCATTCTACTTGGCTCAATTGTCGCATGACACCGTACACACCGCCGTTTGAAGTTGACTGCTTTGCATCACTGGGTTGTCCACCTTTGGCGCGCATTTTGCTTCAGCATATGAGGTGACCATCATCTGCTGTCCTTTGAATCAAACAAATCCCTTTATAATTCCAAACATGAAAATCAGAAGACGTGATCCTACAGCTGACTCAGTCATCTATTAGAGAAGTTGCTTTTCGCGCATTAATCGTGCTTATGCAGTTCTAGGTATGTGATTTCCGTATGGTTGATAGCCTACGATAAAGGATCAGATTAGAAGGACGTATTTCTCTGTTGCTCCTCCACGCACCGGCGTTTTGCTGCTGCCTCGCGACCACCACAAGTCGCGCATTGGCTCGGACCACCGCATAGTCATCCACGCACCGTTCGAGAGTAGAGCTGAATTCTTATCTCGCCTTCGCGGCACCGTCACATGCCGACAGAGACATCCCGTATTCTAACCATACTATTAACGGACCAAGAAAACCGATGTATTCACCCAGTTCCACGTGTCGAAATATGCAGCGTGTTGTGCTTAGGCACCAGATCACGAGATCGTTGCTTTTACATGGCATTTCAGTTCAGCCATTATACCTGGTGATGGTTGTCTGCTGTGATAAAGCCGAATGTTTATTTTTGGCTACACGGGATTGATTTTAAGTTGACTTTGTCACCACCACCGTGACAGTAGCAGTTGTCGGGAAACGTAGCCGTCAGTTTGACTACTACTGAATACTTGAAGAACTGGTTACACCATAGCCATCCGTTTATTAATTCTAAATTCCAGACCTACGTAACGAAGTGGAAGTTCGCACACTGATAAACGGAATCTCATCACAACTGGTCAACCGGAGCTACCGACTTAGCAGTAGAACAAGGCAGGTAACCACCCGTGAGAATTCGTACTTACCCTTTTGGTGCAGCGCAACCGCCGTTCTTTGAATATTCTACCTAAATCCAGTTCGACACTCATACATCAGAAAAGCAAAAAGTAATGCTTGCGCTGGTGACATTTTGCATCCCGTTTTCCTGTCTCCTGAGTATCTCATGTTTGAGTGCAACACTGGGTCCTCAACCCATCTATCAGCTAACATTCTCAAAGATTTCCAGCTTCTGAATTCCCTCCTTCTCAGTCGATCCTCCTGAAGTGGAGGTTCCTCCAACGACCGACTGGTTAACTTGAAATGTATGGCAATAGCTTTCTGTATAGGTCGAACTCAATTGCTATTCAAGCCATGCGGCAGTCACTTGAAAGCATCGTCTTACAGTTAAGTTACCAGAGATGAAGCCATAAATGCTAGCATTCCTAACAAGCATATCTTAACCGGATCATTTGCTCTCATGTGGCGTTACACTGGTACTTAGTGACATATTCGACGGAATCGAACTCAGTGAACTTTATGCTTTCGTTTTCTTCCACCCATGCTCACTTGATCCTAGAAATGCTTTCCACTATTGTGCTTTGTTGTGCCATCATCTTAATCTGAAGACCACAAGGTTTGTGCTGAGGTACCATGGGGTGGTCGAACCAGAAACGTGCTCGCCTCTCCTGTTTTCGCCTAACAGCCATTGTTTCACTCAAGTCTCGCACGCGATTTGATCACTATCGACTGGTTGCGGGAACTCAGGTTGGTGTGTTCAGACCACTCCGTTCATTTCCCTCCTTTATTATTCCAGTTTCTGCGAAGACCTGGAGAATGTTTGTATCGAGACCGTGGAGAGTGGTCAAATGACCAAAGATCTGGCAATTTGTATTCACGGCGTGGAAGCCGTTCGGCCAGAACACTACCTGACGACAATGGACTTCTTGGATGCAATTGCGAGTCGTTTGATGCAGCGAAGGTCCTCTTGAACTCAGAGCTTTCATTGTCCGGCTCTGGTGCTCAACTGCTCTCGTACAAGCCTTGGCACGCTCGTTTTCGGTGCCCCCTAGCAATGTGCCTTCCGCATATGTTTTCATGTTAGGGATAGAATTCTTATCTTCCTAGTCTTCTTCGATCCATCGTTTGCTTTCATTTCCCACTTTACCACCTGTGTTCTTTTTGATCGTACTTTGTTTTAATCTTCCTTGTCCGACACCGGTGCTGTACCTTTTATACGACATTAATAGAGAGCATACTTCTTGCCTGCATACTGTGTTGCATTACATCCACATGTACAACGCTTGCAACACGACTTGGAAATGCTGGTGTTCGGCCTACCTCGTTTGACGTATATCCCCTTGCCCGTTTCTTACTATATGCAGCCTGTCAGTAGTTTGCTATGAGCGAAGCTCACTAGTTTGGGCAGTATAATGGCTGTCTTACTTGGGAAGTTGCATCACTGCTGGTGGGGCTGTTGGAGACGAGATTTCCATGCGCATATCGAGAGCTCGCCTCGCTTTTTCTTGGCTCAGGCACTTGTGGCGTCGCCATGACATTCGTCTCTCCATCAGAGGGCAGGTCTATTGTGCAACTGTTCGTGCTGTACTGTTGTACGGATGCGAGACCTGGCCCATTCGTAAAGATGACTTGCGCAGGCTATCCGTCTTCGAGCACCGCTGTCTGCGGTCCATTGCCCGTGTGTGGTGGCATCACCACGTAAGCAATGTGGAAGTTAGACAGCGTGTATTGGGACTTGGAAGCCACTCGCTCGAGGAGCTCGTCTCACTGCATCAACTGCGGTGGTTGGGACACGTATTGCGCATGCCTGTCCAGCGTTACCCGTGTCGTGTGTTGTTTTCGATTGCTGGACAGGGCTGGAGGAGACGGTCTGATGGACAGCGTACGACGTGGAGAAGTCGCATGAAAAAGCTGACGAAACATTTGGCCTCGGCCGGTTGTTTTCGACTACCTGATTGGGGTCCGAAAGACGCGGGTACTTGCTGGTTGAAGACCTTGGAAGCCATGGCTCAAGATCGCTGTCAATGGCGGACGTGTGCATCAGTGTGTTGCGGTGTCCCTTCTTCCTCTCCCTAAAAAAACAAACTGAAAAAATTTCAAAAACTGAGTAGTAAAATAGACAAAAAAGCCTTTGTTGTTGCTCTTTTCTTATTATTCATACTGTTTTCCTGTTCAGCCATGATTCCAATGACACAATATCTGTACCACAGATATATATATATATATATCCTGCTGTTGTTATTGTGGCGCCATGCATCGTGACAACTAGATCTACCTCACCTCGGTGTCTAAGAACATAGTTGTTTTATTGAACTCATGCAATCTAACCTGATTTTGGCGACGCCAAGGACTTCCTTGAGAGAGATACTGCTGCATATACCACAGCACCATATGGACGACTGTGAGCCGACATTCACTTATACCTGCTGCTTGGGCACGAAATATCGCTCAAAGTAACGATACCCGTCGCAACGAAACTTTGCCCGAATCGTATGCCACACTGTACATACTTCACTGACATATTGAGCGGTAGCTGATAACGCTGTCGAGTGCTCAGGCATACTTCCAACGTGATTGGTCAATGGTCAGATGTTCGATAAACTGTTTCCCTGTCTTCCGTTTTGAAATTGGAACAGAGTTAACACCCGCTTCTATAAGTTTAGCCCATACTATATACTATTACCCTATTCACACAGACGTTTAAGCCAAAGATCAGGGTCTATGGCATTAATCACTTTCTGTCCACATTTGGGCGCTATGTTACTGTCTCAGACCATAGAGAACCTTCGTACCTCAATCTCCTTCTGAGTCGGCCACTGCGCATCTTCAAAAAGATATCTGCATGTGCAGCACACGGCATGGCAGATAAGCAATACCAAGCGATTGTTTATGTGCTGCCTTTTGTGCCCCTTCT